TGTGTGTGTGTGTGTGTGTGTAAGAGAGAGAAAGAGAGAGAGAGAGAAAGAGAGAGAGAGAAAGAGAGAGAGAAAGAGAGAGAGAGAGAGAGAGAGAGAGAAAGAGAGAGAGAGAAAGAGAGAGAGAAAGAGAAATGGGGGAGAGAGAAACGAGAGAGGACGGAAGACTACATGGATCTAAGCCAGGTGGCCAGGAGAAACCACAAGTAGGTCTTATAGCTGGGGAATAAGTTAGTGTAGTGTTAGAGCTGCCCAATCTAGGCATATAGCTTATAATTATAATAACTGGATTGTGTGTTTTTTATATAAGCTTACTGGGGCTGGAAATTACAGCAACAGAGAGGGGTACACACATTGCATTAATATGAAGCATAAAGGAAAAGCATTGCGCTCCCAATGCTGAGGGAAAACGGCGTTTTTCTGATTGCACACTTGGACTGCCTGTCTCCTACTCCTTCCCAGACTCTTCTCACGACCCACATCCCTTATCACCACACACACCATCTTAACAACTATAGTGAGTCTTTTTCTTTCAACTAAGAAACTTAATGAACCCAGGTTCATACATCAGTGTATTAGTTAGCCAGCTGCCTTTAGTTCATGACTCCTCAATGAAGTTAACTCACAGATATTTCGAAAGGATGAATAATATGAATAATTTTCCCTATGTTCATGCTAGAAATCCTCTAAGGCAGAGAACTGGAGGTTTCTTTTAAATTCTATTAACTCAATTTATGTAACATAATATAGATGTATACAGTATAGACATATATAATTAAGATATTTATATTATGTATATAAAATGTGTAGATATTCTTGCATCTTGCACCTGGAAATGGTATAAAATGTTATTCAGAGAAAAGTTGACTGGATGGCTTTAGCTTGGAAGGTATAAAGGTTTTTTTGTGAAATTCCTCACTGAAGTATGTGGTATGCAGTTCATTTGGTTAGCCAAACCACAATTGGTGTGTTAGGTAATTTCAAAATGAAACTTGATTGAAAAGGAACACCCACCTCTAGAAGTGTGCATGACAGTGTTTCCAGAGACAATTAGATCATGAGAGTTCTGACCTGAGCAATGGACCAATCATTGCATTCATTGTATGATGATGTTATGGGAAGACAGTTGAAGTAGGCCTTTGGAGGAAAGAGTCATTACAGGTGTTGGCCTATGAGCCGCCTCTTGCCTTTTCTAAGAAATTCTTTCTCTGTTTCATGTCTGCTGTGATGTGAGTTGCTTGGTCTTGTCCTCTCCCACCAGAGAGACTAGGCCCTTTAGAGCTGTATGCCCACATGCATTTTTACTTCTTTGGTTGTGTCTAGTAGGTAGTTTTACGAGGTAATGGAAAACATTTATAATCAGTTTTGATTTATAGTGATCAGATGAATGAAAGGTCATGAGAACAGAATCTTTAATAACTGAACTTGTATAAGACCCATGGGGACCTTCAAGACGGACCAAAGCACCAGCTGCCTGGTTTCCTTTCCGGCTGAAATGGCTCTAGAATGTTACAATTACCTCACCTTACTGGTGCTTGCTTTTATAACTTTATCAGGATGAAATCGCTCCTAAAACGATCTTTCTTTAAGCAGTGATGTAGTCAAGTTAGCTTCTGTGGGGGACAATCTGTTCTCATTGATGGCTTTACATGTCTAGGAGATCTTAAAACTTCATCCCGGGATGAAACCTTCACATTAACTACAGGCCAAGTCCCCCAGTGAGGTTGGCACCTTCCTGTAGCTGTCAGATAAAACGCACTGGTGATCTCAACATCCCACTATTACAGCCTAAGGAATTCTGTTGGCAGCCCCTCCCCTAATAAAAGTGGGTGATTCAACCTGCACTTTCACATCCCATCTGCAAGATGAGATAAAAAGATGCTTTTTTTTTATATTGTCAAGGGACTCTAAAATTTAGTCTCATGCAAAGATTATTATCTAAATCCAAACAACTGTGAAATTGTTGATACATATGAAAGCAGAAAAATCTGTGGATTTCATTAATTTCTCAAAAAAGTTCATGAGTACGCTGTTGGGATTCATTGAGTGGAATAAAGTAATAACATTGGCAATCAGAAGATCTGTAGACCTGTCTAGACTGTATTCTGTTGAAATATTGTGTTTAGGGAGAATTCAAGTCAATACTGACAGATTTGGGAGTCTAGCATGATCCATATTCTAGAACAGGAATCACTTGATCTCTGTAATAGATAAAACCACATCTAAAATGCCATTTGATCAAATGAAAACAAAAATTAAAAGACATATTTAATATTATAAAAATAAAAATTTAGACAATATAGCTTTTTTTCCTTTATAGTCTAAGTATAGATTTAAGTTAGATTAGACGTGTGAGACTGATTTTGGGTTGGATGTAGATGCCACAGGACTAACAGACTGCTCATCCACACACTTCTCCTTTGTGTTAGCCATGGAAAGCTCTGGATTCAGGGGTGGATGCTCGGGTGGAGACTCTATATCTCATTCTCCTTTGCAGTTAGGCAGACACATTCACACATACACACACTCACCTCACACACACGCCTTACACACTCTCACAACACACACACACACACACACACACACATGTAAAGTTCTAAGCAATGAAATATGAACAGAAGTGATGTGCTTTATCTCTTTCCTTTCCTCTTTTTCCATTGGTTGAAAATGTACAATCACTTAAATAACTTCCTTACACTAAAAACACATGTTCTCAGTTGCTCCATAAATGAGAAGTCAACTTCAAGTTTGTTTAATGGACTGGATTTTGGAAGCTTACTAAAACAGTTTAATCTTCATCATCATCATCATATATATATGTATACATATACATATATATGTATATATACATATATATAATTACAAAATTAACATATATTAATGCATATTATTTAATATATATCTATATGTATATAACATGTATTTGTATAGTCAGAGAGTTTATGAATGAACTTGCAATTACATAATATTCTGATTCCTTTTGTTGTTTTTTGTTTTTTTTTAAATTTAATTTCCTTTTTTACTTATTGACTTTACAGCCTGCTCACTGCTCTCTTCCCATCATCCCCTCCCACAATCCTTCCCTTACACCCTCCCCTTCTCCTCTGAGTAGGTGGGCACCATGGGTATCCCCTAACCCTGGCACTTTTAAGTCTCTGCAAGGCTAGTTGCTTCCTCTCCCATTGAGGCCAGACAAGGCAGCCAGCTAGAAGAACATATCCCACAGACAGGCAACAGCTTTTGGGATAGTCCCTGTTCCAGTTGTTTGGGACCCATAGTAAGACCAAGCTGCACCTCTGCTACATATGTGTGGAAGGCCTAGATCCAGCCTGTGTAAGGTCAGTCTTTGAGAGCCCTAAGGATCCAGATTAGTTAACTCTGTTGGTTTTCCTTTGCAGTTCCTATCCCCTTCGGAGCATGCAATCAA